CATGGATTAATTTTCAGGCGAATGGCCTTTTCCCTAGGACTGCCTCTGTCTAACAAGTCTGGGGCAGCACGGTGGCCCCAGACCCCTGTGCCACAAAGCACACCTGCCACAGCTGGGCAGGACGCACGAGAGTCCTCACCACTGTCTGTGCCTGCTGAGCCAGACGAGCCACTTCTAGGAATGTGTCCCAAAGGAAATAAATCAAGGTGCCAACAACGTTCACTGCGGTGCTATTTTACGTTAAATTGAAAAACAGGAAATGATCTAAATGTTCGACATTAGGAAAATGGCTTAATGAATCATGGTAGATCCATATAATGGAATATATAGCCTCTAATACTGACATTGATAAAGAACCTTTAATGACACAGGCAAGTGTTATGATCTTAAAGCACCAGCAAGAAGAACCCCACATATAAAATGACATATAGTTTTGGTCAATAAGGGAGAAGGAGCTGACATGGAAAATCCCCCTTCCTGCTTCAAACATGTGGAAATGCTGATAAAATGAGCAGGTTATAAAGTTATATGATCAAGCTCAGAAACAAACAAACACACAATCAAACAAACAACAAAAGGGGCCAGCCCGGTGGCATAGTGGTTAAATTCACACGCTCCGTTTAAGTGGCCTGGGGTTCGTGGGTTCAGATCCCAGGCGCAGACCTACACACCACTCATCAAGTCATGGTGTGGCAGCATCTCACATACAAAACAGAGGAAGATTGGCACAGATGTTAGCTCAGCAACAATCTTCCTGGAGCAACAAAAAGCAAGATTGGCAACAGATGTTAGCTCAGGGATAATCTTCCTCACCAAAAAAAAACAAAAACAAAAACAAAAACAGGGAAATCTTCAGGTGCCAAAACCAAAGAGAGAACTTGGTGGCAGAGCTGTGGGCAGGAGCTGAGCTGAGTGACCCAGGGAGTGGCAGGGGTGGAGGTACGTGTGAGAGCCACACCACACCGGGGCCTGGTCACTAGGAGGGGACACTGGGCACCTGGCCCATTCCAGCTGGGAACAGGGAAGGAGCCCCCTGCATTATGCCGGGTCACAGGCAGTCCATCCGTGAATGAGACACCAGAAAAACCCCACCCACGGGCCTGGGGAAGATGCAAGGAATCCTGTCATCCACCCAGGGTCATGGGTGAAAATAGAGTCACCAGCAAAACCAACCAACAGGCTTGGATTGAGAAGGCTTGGAGTCTGAGTTCATGGAACCTCAAAACTGAAAAATTCATATAAAAATGGGTCTGGAACTACTGGAACTCATAGAGTCCCCCACAGATGCTCATGCCACAGAGCTCTGAAGAGGCACTCTCACAACTCAGGGCATAGGGGACACCATGGAAAATACCTACTGAAGACAAGAGGATGACACAAATGACAAATCACCCAGGGACATGAACCACCAGGCCTCACCTCCAGATGGGATATGATATTAGAATTGTATACAGAATATGTCTCAAACTGCATAAAAGCATATAAATGTACAGAAAAAAAATCTCAAAATGTGAAGAGTGATTGACTTGAAGTAGCAGGATTATGGATGAATTTTTAAAAATCTGCTTCTTGACCAGGAATTGAAACGTAAATGCCCACAGGTGCCAGGCTGGTAACACAGTGAGGGCAGTGGGCAGGTGGGGGTGGGAGAAACACCCTGCTCATGGGGGCATCCAGTGCTCAGCTCCCTCAGCCCCTATGTTGGAATGGAGGCCTAGGGTGGCCACATCTTCCTACTTTTCTACATCTAAATTTTTATACAAATACCTCAACTTTAAAATGCTAACCACTAATTCTATTTTTCTTAGTACCTTCTGAAGGCCACTGAGATGTAAGACTGATACAACAGGTACAGAATTTATCTGTATGCTGAAAGCTAAAAAATGCTGATGAAAGAAAACAAAGATCTACATAAATGAAGAGACATACCATGTTCATGGATTGCAAGGTAACACAGTAAAGATGTCAATTCTCTCCAATTTGAGTACAGGCTTGATATAGTTCCTATCAAAATCCCATCAAAGTTTATTTTTTGTAGATATAGACAAGATTATTCTAAAATTTAAATCGAAAGGCAAAGGAACTAAAATACTAAAATAATTCTGAAAAAGAATCAAGTGGGAGGCATCAATTATTTCAAGACTTATTTTCAGCTACAGTAATCAAGACTGTGTGGTACTGAGAGAGGGACAGACTCATAGAACAATGGAACAGAATAGAGAATCCAGAAATAGCCCCACACAGGTATGGCCAATGGATTTTTGGCAAGAGCAATTCAATGGAGAAAGCACAGTCTTTTTAACAAATGGTGTTAGAGTATTGGATATCCATAGATAAAAAGAAAGAACCTCAACCTAAATATCACACCTTATACAAAAGTTAAGTCAAAATGAATCACGGACTGAAATGCAAAATTATAAAACTTGTAGGGGAAAAAAAAAAAGGAGGAAATCTTTGGGACCAAGGGCTAGGGAAAGAGTTCTTCAACATGACCACAGAGCACAATCCATAAAAGGAAAAAACTGATCAACTGGACTTCAACAAAATTAAAAGCTTTTACTCTGCACAAGATCCTATTAAGACAATGAAAAGATAAGCTATACACTGGGAGAAAACCTTAGCAAACCACATATCTGACAAAGGACTCCCTTCTAGAATACAGCCCTGTGCCACATGACAACGCTTCAGTCAACGACCAACAGCATATACAGTGGTGGTCCCACAAGATTAGCAGCGTATAGCCTAGGTGTGTAGTAGGCTATACCATCTAGTCTGTGTATAAGTACACTCTATGGTGTTCGCACAATAATGAAATCACCTAACAACGCGTTTCTCAGAACGTATCCATGTTGTTATGCAACACACGACTCTATATAGATGGCAAACCCACACATGGTCAACATCAGTAGCCACTTTTAAAGGAAATGCAAATAAAGACCACAATGAGACATCACTACACACCTAACAGAATGGCTAAAAAATACCAAACGTCGGTAAGGATGCAGAGAAACCGGATCTCTCAGACATTGCTGGTGGGAATGTAAAATGGCACAGCCACTCTGGAATACCGTTTGGCAGTTTCTTAAAAAACTAAACATACAAGCACCATACAACCCAGCACTAGCACTCAGCATTTATCCCAGAGAAATGAAAATGTACAGCCACAGAGAAAACTGTATACGACTGTTCAAAGCAGCTTCACGTGTAACAGCCTCAGACCAGAAACAACTGAAATGTCCTAAATAGGTGAATGGTTAAAAAGAAAAAAAAAGTGGTACATCCATACTACTGGATTGCTGGAATATTATTCAGCAATACAAAGGAATGAAATGTTGACACACACAACAACCTGGACCGATCTCAAGGGCATTGTGTGGAGTGAAAAAATTCTCAAAAGGTCACATACCATATGATTCCATTTTTATGACATTCTCAAATGCCATCATTATAGAGATAGGGAACAAATTAGTGATTGCCAGAAGTTAGGGATTGTAGGAGGAGAGGGTGGGGGTGACTATAAAGCCGTAGCACGAGGTAGATCTCGGTGGTGATGGAATAGTTCTGTACCTTGATTGTGGTGGCAGTTACCCGAATCCACACACGTGATAAGTTGACACAGAACTATACACACACACTGTCAATTTTCTGGTTTTGATATTTACCATAGTTATGTAAGATGTAACCCTTGGGGCAAACTAGGTGAAAAGTACAAAAAACTCTCTGTACTACCTTTACAACTTCCTGTGAATCTATAATTATGCCAAAATAGAAAATTTAAAAGTTGAGGAGAGGGTTAAAAGAAAGAAAACCATTCCTTGGACTAAGCTGAAATCTGCCCTCTTAGACCCTCCACACGGGTCCTAACTCTTCCCTTGGGGGCCCCCACACCACATCTGCTCAGAGATTTGCCGACAGCGAACCTGTGCCCTGACTCCGTTCTTCTGTCTCAACAGCCCAAGCAGCTCCCAATCCCTTCGGATGTGCCAACTTTCCGTTCCCAAATCATTCTGAACTGATTTATCCGTCTGAGCCCAGAGTTCTGCTCATGACATTATTAATAATTGACCCAGGGCCATGGGTGTAAACCACCACTGTCCCCAGCAAACTGGGGCATGTACATAGTCCCCTCACAGATAATGGATGTTGGCAAACAGGGGGCCGATGCTGTGGCCTGGCCCAGTCCTCGGCGTCTCCACTCCACTGCGGGCCTGGCCTCAGGAAGACCTGGGTGCCAGCTACTCCCACGGTCGGAGCCAGTCTCCCTGCCTGACTTGTGGTGGTCACGGAGCCCTCAGTGGGACAGTCCCGGGAGGGCAGCCCACGCCAGCCCTCACTTCCAGGAGGGGCGGCTGAAGCTGAGAGGGGAAGGGAATGGCCAGCGTCACGCAAAAGGCCCCTAAAGACAACTTTTTCACAGTCAAAATGGCAGCTCGCAATAACGTCAGCCCCAGATTCCCATTTAAAACCCCCAAAAGAATCTATTTAAATAAACATCATTATGAAAGGAGAAGCCTGGAGAAAGTACCTATTTATGGAATACGTTTATACTCTACTTACTTTCAACATGGCAGAGAAACCTAAAGAGCTATTTGCATGTTTCTTACACTGTATTTTCCTCTGTTTTGGCGATTTGGGGCTGGGAGATGGAGGACTAGTCCCTGCAAGAGACAGGCCTTGGCAATGGCAGGAGAAAAGGCCGCTCCTCCATTTTGTGAGGCGTTACAGGGCAAGGCCAGGCACGGGGCAGAGGCAGAGTCACCACAAAGCTAACGAAAGAGGAGCCTCGGGCCCCTCGCTTGCATGGCCCCTTCAAGGTCTTACACCCTATTTGGTGTTCTTTTTCTCAAAAAGAGCCCCCTAAATGATAGAAGCCCCAGCTCCCATCAAACCTGAGCTGCCCTTTGAGGTTGGTCTGTATTTTTCCTTGGCTTCATACTGGGGAGAATCTTGTGTCTGAGGAGAAATGTGGGTGTCTCAAGCAGAATAAGGGAGAGACTTGCCTTCAGCTTCTCCGCAGCGTCTTCAATCTGGGTTATGTTGCCAGCTTGCTGCTGCTTCTTGATGGCCAACTGCTGTAAACATTCTTGGGTGAGTTTCTGTATGTGAAGGAGTTGGGGAAAAAGTCTTAATACTGTCACTTTCCAGATAACGAGGCACCCAGGGCTCATCTCCTTTCACCCCTGTGTTTTGTTTCAGCTGAGGGATCTGAGACCCAGAAGGGAGGTGACTTGCCCAGTCACGAGGCAAGTTGGAGGGTGAGCTGGAACCAGGGCTCCTCTGATCTTCAGAGGCCCACATCACGTATTCTGCGAACCTTGATGCCCCCTGTTTTTTTCTGGGACAACCCTGCTTGTGATTTGCTTTTCCAGTCCCTCAAATAGGACCTTAAGGCAAACATCTTGGGGTCAGGGGAAGGGCAATCGCTTACAGAGTGAATACACATGCTGGGCCCTGTTCTAGGAGCTGCCCTCAAGGAACTCACATTCCAGGGGGGCCGGTGGGCCTCTGGCTGGACTGGGGTTCAGAAGACCTGCGTGTGTGAGAGGTCTGTGGGGTTCATGCTCCCCTCTCCCTCCCACCTGAAATGACTCCCTTCCATATCTCTGCTTTTTGCAACTGCCATTTTTCCAAAGGCCTGCTGTGTCTCTCTCTCCCAGAGGTGTGACCTTACCTCCATCTTAACTTTCTTACATTCAGCACCTGGGCCGACTGGGAGCTTCCCCAGGGCAGGCCTGCTCCATTCCTGGCTCCCCCATAAGGACCAGGGGGTGACACAGAAGTGTGTGCTGAATTGAATGGAACGACCAGGGGCTGCCAACTTCAAGTAGAGAGTAAGTCGTTACGAGCACAAGCCCCAGAGTCACATGAGACCTGCTAGGTCTGAGTCCCAGCTCTACTTTCATGTGACCTGGGCAAGTGACCTCAGCTCTTTAAACCTCGGTTTCCTCAGCTGTAAACATGGGGATAACCCTAGGGTTGCTGTGGAGATGAGAAGTACAGGCACACCTCCTTGTATTGCGCTTTGCAGACATTGTATTTTTCACAAATGGAAGGTTTGTGGCAACCCTGTGTCGAGCAAGTCTATTGGCGCCATTTTTCCAATAGCATTTGCTCACTTCACGTCTCTGTGTCACATTTTGGCAATTCTCGCAATATTTCAAAGTTTTTCATTATGACCATATTCGTTATGCTGATATGTGATCAGTGATCTCTGATGTTACTATTGTACAGCAGACAGTGAGTGCTTAATAGATGTAGCTCTTGTTATTTTACTACCCAACAAGCATTTGCTACTGTGTGCAGTTTTACTCTAGGTGGGGTGGTGGTGGGGGTGGGGGGGTGGAGATGGGGACACAATAGTAACCCATGTATAAGTCATAGCCTCAACTTTCAGGAGCACATCCTTACTCCACTGGGATTTCTAAGCCTTCAAGTCTAGCTCCTGTCCATCACCCACGGATAACCCAGCCTCCTGGTGCCTGAGCCCTCCTGTTACAGGGAGCTTCTCCTCTCTTGGTACCTGGTGAAATCCTACCTGTCCTTCAAGGCCAGTTCCAGTGGCACCTCCTCCGGGAAGTCTTCCTGCTCCTGTCCCTAGTTCACACTGTTGTCTCTCTGGCTCTCCAATTACAATACTTATCACACTGTACTGTCACTGTTTGTTCTCCCCACACCAGCCAGGGAACTCCTCCAGGTCAGGGAAGAATTGATCTATTCCTTGACTCACGGCACAAGGTATGTGCACAAGGTATGTGCTGAATGGATGTCTGATGAATGAATGGATGGATGATGGATAAACAGATAGGTGAACAGGTGGGTATGTGGATGCAAAATGGGAATGCATAGCTAGGTGAATGGGTGGACCTATCTGTGAGACCCACAAGCCATATCTCTAGAAAGCAGCCTTCTTAACTCTGAAAAACGGCCATTTGAGGAGCTATTATTATTATTACAGCCATTTTATAGATAAGAAAAGGAAGATCTTACAGGCAGGCCTTGAACCCAGGACTCCACTAGCTTTACTGGCCGCTACAGGGCTCATTCTCACCTTGGAGCTCCAACGTTGTCACAGCGTGGTGTTAAGGCATGCCTTGCAGGGGAAAGGTCATTGTGGGGCTGGGGGAATAACGGACTTCTTGGAGGTGGAAGGGGTAGAATCAACATCTGTCCAAGTCAGGAGAGCCCCTCTGGCCCAGAGCGGCGGAGGGATTAGACCAGAGCCACAGAACCAGTCGGCCGCAAGGCTGGAACACGAGTGCGGAGCCCCGGGCCACTCTTAGGATTAAGCATGGGCGAGGGCTCCAAGGTGAGCCTTGGCCCCGCGGGGGCTGTCCAGCTGAGTTCAAGGCGCACCTTGGCCTCCAGCCTTCCTCTTCTCACGGATAAAACGGCTGTGGTGGCTCGTGGAACGGGGGCGGGTGTGGGGGGCGGGGCGAGCGGCCGTTGAGGCTGCGCCCGGGGCGCTCAGGCGGTCCCCAGCGCAGAGAACCAGAGACGTTCGGGCGGCTCCCCCGGCTACACGGCTGTGCTCTAAGAGGAGTGATCCTCCTCTCTGTCAGAGGCAGGTTTTCTTCCAGCCCAAGGGCACTGTGGGGGATCTGCCACAGGGGCCGAGGTCAGGGTATCCGGCACCCGCGGGGCTCCAAGTTCTCCCTCGCAAACCCACCTCTTCTGACGGTTAACCAACGGCCTTGGCTGGCCTCTGCCCTTCCTCGGGCCTCAGTCTCTCGTTCTGAACTATAGGTCGACAGCGACAGCCTAGAGGACCTCCGGCCGCCTTGGGGCCCCAGATCCTAACCGGAACCGGCAGTGGAACCCTGGGCACGCCCCTCCCCGTCCGTTGCTCCCGGGCTCGCCCCCGCCCCGCGCGCCGCCGCGTCCCCACCTGCACTTGCGCCGCCTCCTCCAGCGCCAGGCCCACCGGGTGGCCGCGGTGCACGCCCAGCAGTGGGCAAAGCGCGCACACGCAGCGGCGGCAGCGGCGACAGAAGAGCTCGGCCACGCGGTCGCCGTGCTCCGGACAGCGCCAGCGGCACGCGTCCTCGGAATCCGCGGGGCCCGGCCCCGCAGGTGTCCCGCTGAACGCCGCTGCGCCCGCCATTCATGCCCACAGCTTCGGGCTGCGCCAGCGCGGGGAGGGGCTCCCCTGGGGAATCGAAACCTCGGCGGTGGGGCGGGGCGGCCCCGGGCCGGCCCAGCTCCGGTGGAAGAATGGCAGGAAGCGCCGGCTGCGGGTGGGGGTGAGGGTGTGGGTAGGGTGGGGGTGGGGCATGTAGCGACAGCAGCATCACCCTTGGACCAGCAGGGTGCTCTCCAGCCCCGCCTGCCCCAGCTGCTATAGCCAGCTCTGTCTGGCCCGGAGGTGGCCACAGCAGAAATGGGGGCTCCCCCCTGTGAAACTGAATAAGTGTGGAAACTAATAAAACTTCTCGACTAAATTGGAGTTGGGAAGGCCTGTAGGGGGCGCTCTGACGCCCTGTCACACACGTCAATTAGGAAGAGCGTATGCATGTATCTTGGAGAGAAAGTGCAACTCCTTTAGTACGCTGAAGGAAGATTTCTCTCCCCACCCAGCAACAGCCCAGCCAATCAGAAACCCTGCAGCTCAGCCAATGGGAAGCTTCTGAGGTTGCCGTCCGGAACCGTTATTGTCCCCCAATGGGCTTGCACTTAGAACAGCCCCTCCCTACTCCCCCTTTTTCTCCATAAAAGCTCCCCTCTGTCTGTCCATGGTTTGACATGGTATGCACATGTGGAATTGCAATTCTTTTGGCTATTCTACAATAAACTCATTTTGAGGATAAAATAGGTGAATTTGCTTTTAAGTTGACTAAAGAAAACCTCGTTTTATTTATTTATTTTTTTGATGAGGAAGATTAGCCCTGAGCTAATATCTATTGTCAATCTTCCTCTTTTTGCTGAGGAAGATTGGCCTTGGGCTAACATCTGTGCCCATCTTCCTCTACTTTATACGTGGGACGCTGCCACAGCATGGCTTAACAAGCGGTGGGATCTGCGCCTGGGATCCGAACCTGTGAACCCTGGGCTGCCGAAGCAGAGTGCATGAACTTAAACACTATGCCACCGACTGGCCCCAAGAAAACTTCATTTTAAAGAAGGGGGAGCTCTGACCCACCACCACTCGACATCAATTGCAAGAATCATCATCATTCACAGACCCAAACAGGAAGAGATGTACAGGGCATCCCCAACATGAAATTGACTACCTCAGCAACTCAGCCAGTGAGAAACTGTCATCACCCTGAACTCTCATTTTCTGCTGATGGACTTCGCTTTGAAATAATCCCTCCCAACTTCCGTTTTCTTTATAAAATAACATTTCCCTCCTTTGCTTGCTGGCCTTGCCTATGGCTTTTGCTATAGCCTGCTTGTCCCGAATTGCAATTCCTTTGCCAGTCCCGAATAAACCCATTTTGCTGGTAAAATAACTGGCTGTTTTATTTTTAAGGTGGACACTCCTAATAGGCCAACTGGAAGGGGGTGAGCTTCCCTGCTTAGTGATGCTAGTCCAGTCATGCTCAGAAAACTGCAGCCCTGCGGATGAGACTGAGGTTGGCTGTGGCCTTCCAGATAGTGTGCATTACCTACACTTTTCACTTTCCCTGATTCTCCCTGCCGTTTCCCCAGGACAGCTAACCGTTCCCACAATTGTAAGAAACACCCTGGAAACATCAAGTGCCCCCAGGCTAAAGTCTCAGCTCCCACCAAATGTAAATTGGTACAGCCATTATGGAAAACAGTATGGAATTTCCTCAAAAAATTAAAAATAGGACCACTATATGATCCAGCAATCCTACTTCTGAGTATATATCCAAAGAATATGAAATCAGGATCTCCAAGAGATATCTGCACTCCCGTGTTCACTGAAGCATTATTCACAATAGCCAAGATATAGAAACAATCTAAGTGTCCTTGGAAGGATGAATGGATAAAGAAGACGTAGTATATGTATATATAGTGAAACGTTATTTAGCCCTAAAAAATGAAATCCTGCCGTTTGCGACAGGATGAATCTGGAAGACATTATGCTAGGTGAAATAATCCAGACAGAGAAAGACGAATACTATATGGTATCACTTACATGTGGAATCCAAAACACAAGTCAAACTCATAGAATCAGAGTAGAAAGTTGGTTGCCAGGGGCTGAGAGCTGGAAGAAAAGGGTACAAACATTCAGTTATAAGAATTACAAGTTCTGGGGATTTAGTGAACAGCATGGTGACTAGAGTTAACAATATGTATGGTATACTTGAAATTTCTTAAGAGAGTAGCTCTCAAGTGTTCTCACCGCACACAAAAAATGGTAACTATGTGAAGTGATAGATGCGTTAATTAACTTGATTGTGGTAATCATTTCACAATGTTTAATTTACATATATTAAATCATCACACTGTACACCTTAAAAAATCACATACAACATAAACATATACAATTTTTGTCAATCATGCCTCAATAAAGCTAGGAAAAAAGTCTCAGCTCCCACCTGCAAGGCCCTTGGCTCTTAGTACTCTTGATCCCTACCCTGTCTATGCTCTGCCCTTTTCCTGTTTTCAGACCAAGGAATAGGCAATTTTCTTTGCTTGGAGCACTCTTTTCCAGAAATGTCCTTTGCCCTGCTCACTCCTATATATCCTTCAGGTGTCTGCCTACATATCACTTCCTCCAGGACGCCTTCCCTGCTTCTCTCCCCAAGGCAGCACGCCCTTCCCCTATTCTTGCCCTCCGCTTTCCCCTAACCATGACTGAAAACTCTTCAGAGGGCAGGGACCAAGTCTGTCTTACCTGTTTCCCAGCCTGCCATCTGGCCCAAACGGTAGGTTCTTAATTGGTATTTGTGGAACAAATCAAGAAAAGGAAAGCTCCGTGTATTAAAATGTCTAGGCAGATGTTTATTATTTTGTTACATTCTTTCCATTGCACGATTCCACTTCTATTTATTTTCACTTTTATTTATTTTTTTACAAAGGTGCAAGGAATTTCAGAAACAACATTAAAACAATCATTCAAACTGTTTCAGGCACGGTTTCATATTAAGAGCATAGATTGATTTCTGACTTCCTGCTTCCCTCTATGATACAATCTCAAGTTTTGTTCTAGGAAGAACAATTACTGTAGAGCTGAGGTGGATACACCCCGAAGCTCACCTCCCAGTGCTGTCTTCATCCTCAGAAAGTTCCTGAGTCAACAGTCGGGGGCTCCCGGGGTACGGAGTAAGGAGATGAGTGCGCGTTCTGCTTGCCCTGAGTGTGAGGGCCTGGCTCTGCCAATGCTGGGCAAGCTCTCCGCCATCAGTCAAGAACATAAACAAAAACGTAATTTTAAAAAATGGCTTAAAAAAATATCTGATAAAAATTACCTATCCCTCTCCCTTGCTGTGAAATAATTTAAATAATTTATTCCAGATGTAAAAAAAAAAAAAGAAAACAAGTTTGTTCACGGATGCCTTCGTATTGTTTTTAAGCATGAGGTCTGGGTCCTGTAGGGGTGGGAAGAGCTCGAGAAGGAATGGCTCTGTGTAGAGGAGCATTCCGGAAGCTCCCGGACTCAGCCCCACCTCCACTGCTTTGCAGCCAGTGCCTCTGGGCACGATGTTTCCATGTTTCTTTATTCTCCGAGGCTAGGTCTTCCTTTCTGAACAGGGGGATATTAATGCCTGCCTGGGCCATGTTGCAGGAGGAAGTGTCTATGAGTGGAGGTGGGAGGGCTTTGTAAACTGTGAAGTGCTGGCCACAAGTGAGGTGGGAGAGGTAACTCCATCCAGTAGAGCTCTGCTTCCCTGGCAATGCCCGGGATTTGGCCTTTGGCAGGCTTGGTGAGCCCCAGCCACTGAGTAAATGGGGATAAAAGAAGGAACACGGGCGTCTGGCGTGTGCAGGCAGACAGGAGGACTCAGCCATGGCAGAGGAGGGGGCAATCAGGAGCACAGAGCCCCCGTCGTGCACGGCCAGGAAGGGGCCCAGAGAGACATGAGGGAGGGCTCGGGACAATGCTTCCTGATTTCAGGAGCGCTGGATTTTAGCTGGAGTCCCAGCTCCTGTCTGGCGCTCACTGTCCTCCTCATCTTTGCTGTGACTAGGTGCAGATGGACTCACCCAGTGGGTCTCCATCCTCACTGTATTGCAGAATCACCTGGGAGCTTATAAAAACATACACAAAGCCAGGCCCTACTCGGAGATTCAGCTTCAACTGGTCCGAGGTTGGGCCTGGGCATCTGTATTTCCTGAATGCTCCCAAGGGAATTCTGATGTACAGCCTGGGTTGAAACCTACCAGGCCAGGTGGCCTCCTGCAGTCCCCCTCCTAGCTCTGGGATCACCCTGTGCAATGGGCAAAATTCATTGTCTGCACCTCCTTCCAACATTCCCCATCTTTAGCCGGGCCATCATATTGACCACTGAGAAAGAGACAACCTTAGAGAAGGGCTCAGAACACAGACTCACAAAGTAGGGACACAGAAAACTCCCAGGCTGGAAGGGGCTTCAGGGCCATGTGGTCCTGCTTCCCTGCCTAGTGCAGTCATCCTTCTCCAGGAGTCCTCACCGGTGGCAGCCATGAGGCTCTGCCCGCAACTTCCAGTGCTGGGGCTCCCCACCTCCTGGGGACCACTTCTGTTACCTTGGGCTGAAATCTGCCTGCATCCTCCCAGGGGAGGCAGGCTCTGAGACCTGAGGGCTTGGGGGTGGCAGTTAGTGGTCACGGGCACCACTTTGATATCTGCGTCCCACACAAGGGATAGTGTCTACCCACATCCGGCTGATTCTGGTTGAAGAGAGGATGGCTTTGGCCTCCTGTCTGTGTTCTAGAACTAGGCTGGACCATGAATTATTTCCCTGAAGTTAAACTCCCTCTGCCCCTTTGCCAATGTCTCCTGAGTTCCTGCAGCAAACCCAGATCATCACCCAGCATGTAGTTTTCCTCAAGTCAAGGCCACAGTTTCTTGTCTGGGTAGCAGATCCTGTGGAGGGCAGCTCATTCCAGGATGACCCTTGTTCAGATGGAGAAATGGAGACCAAGGGCGGGGTAAGGGAAGGACTCACAGGAGGTCGCTAAGTCACGGGCATAGCTGAAGCCAGAACCAAGAGATTCCTGCCCTGCGGGCTGAGACCTGTATCAGACCAGAAACAGCAGAAAGACAGACCAGAAAACCAGGAGCTCAGCCCAGCCCTGCCATGAACTCTCTGGGGACCTTGATCACTTGCCTTTCTCTGGGCTTCAGTTTCCCCACCAGTAAAATGAGGGAGTTGGGTCAGATCACTGGTTTTTAAACTTCTAAATTTTTTTTAAGCAGCAGAATTATGTATCCATAGAAGCCAATGAATGAAACAGATAGAAGGGGAGCTGTCTAGTTGGGAAGGGGAGGAGGCCCTGTCTACTTAGCCATCCCCCATTTCACGGACCACAGTTTGAAAATCACAAGCAGGTTCCCCTCCTCGGTCCTTCCAGCTCTAACTTTCTACAATGTTCTTTACCCTTGAGAAGTTACAGCTCATTGTGGACCCTTAAACACAAATTAAACAGAAGGCAAGGTCATCTAAAAAGAGTCCACTCAGACACCATTGTTTCGAGAAGGCAAATAGAAAAATGGCACCGCGTCCCACTGGAATCTTTCAGCGACCCAAAGTTTCGTTTTCTGGTAAAATTGACAGAAACAGCAGCTGTCCTCGGGGGACCTGTGGTTGGTCCTGGACCTCCCCATGGCGCCGAGTGGTGTCCCTGAGGGTGAGGAGGGCAGAGCTCTGCTCAGAACCTCTCTGAGCCCATCCGCAAGTTCTTGATCTCCAGCTCCAACTGCTTGGCCTGCACCTCGCGCTGGGTCAGCAGCTCCCGCAGCCGCCGGATCTCCTCCTGCTGCCGGTAGAACATCTGCAGCAGCTGGGAGAGCAGAGCGGCGTCACCTGGGCGTCCCCACGCCAGGGGCACAACTCCAGCACAAGGGATGAAACACTGCCCCTGTCTGACTCAGAAAGCTGTGCCTGATTATATTACCCTGGCTGAGCCCTGAGGGGGCCGCCATTGCACAGATCTTTTACTAAAGCCTTGTTTACTTCACCCAATAAATGAAATCCCAAAAGACTTGATGTTTCAGACATTTCTGCCTCCTTAGATCCCCCATGGGATGGAGGAAAGGATATTTGGCTCTGAAGTCTGGAGATTAGACTTATCACCACCACTAAACTATGACCTCAGGCAAGTTATTTACCCTCTCTGAGCTTCAATTTCCTCCTCTGGGAACTGGGAGTCAGAAAGCTAACCTCGGCATTATCCTAATTGCTGCCACTGTATAGAATGGTACTAGATGTTGGATGCTCCCCCTAAGGACCTTTGTTATTTCCTTGGATGCTCACAACACCCCTAGGAGGGTGGTAGTATTAGTACCCCCACTTTACCACTGTGGCTGAGAGAGACTCAGCCCCCGGGTCCGAGGTCCTACAGTTAGTGCTCAGCAAAGCCAGGATCAGAATCCCTCTGTGGATGCCAGCCCTTGTGTTTTTAGCCACGACATACTGACTCCCAGGGCAGGTGAGGGAATTCAATTTGATGATATATCGAAGTGCCTGCCATAGGACCTGGCACACAGTAGCACTTAATAAATGTTGACTCTGAAAGCACAGAAACTCCTAGAGGGTCAGAACTGGAAGGGACTTGAACACCACCAGGTCAAGCCCTCTGCATTTTACAGGTGGTTCCCCACCATCTGTACGTAAACCCACCCTCTTGGCATACAGACGGTGCTCATCACCTGTTTGTTGAATGAATTAATAAAGTGAGTTAAGTGTCTAGGTCAGGCCACACAGCTGGTTATTCTTCTCGCCTTTCATGTTCTCCTCCCCCTAGCAGCTGCCCCCCCAGCCCCAGACCCACTGCCCCACCCTCATCCACACCTCATTCTCCGTCTTTGGTGGGGGGCATTCGAAGATGTCAAAGCCGTTTGTGAACCAAGTTTTCTTCTCCTCCAGCCTCTGTTCTGCTGCCCACCTGGGCGCCTTCTCCTCCAGCAGGGAGAAGGGCCTCCGGCCATCTTCTGCAGCCAGCTTTTCCGTCTGGTTGGAGAGCCGGGGCGAGGCGGAGGCCATGGAATTGGAGAGGGGTCTCTCTGGAAGCAGCGGCCGGGTGCTCAGCAGCTCAGAGCCGGGCCTGAGGGACACCAGGACTGGCCCTGGGAGGAAGCAGAGTCCAGAGTGAGGACCGAGTGCCCAGGAGCAGATGGCCATGGGGGCACGGACACACGCAGGCACGCAGAGACACATGACAGGTGCGGGAGACACGGCCACATGGCAGAGAGGCACAACCCGAGAACTGGGGCCGTCAGAGTGCAAACGCCCATGCCAGTGACTGTCTGAGGAAGCCTGGTCTGTAGGAGCAGCCCGGTTCATGCCCTGGAGCTGCCCCCAAACCCCTGAGCTCCCCCAGCGAAGCCTCGCCCTTGCTTTGTAAGCACAGTCCCACCCACACTGTGCTCTGCCCTCTACCAGCCCACGTGCTCTCCCAGCACCCCTGAGAGCAGGGGAGGCAGGCATCACGATACAAATGGGGAAACTGAGGCCTAGAGAGGAGCTAGACTATCTCAGCGTTATTAAAAAAAGGGAGGGGGGGTTAAAGGGAGAGAGATCCCTATCACTGAGGAGGCTGCTGGGGGGCGGGGGCACACTGTCTTCCCCAGGGCCGGCCCCTAGGTTGACAGGACAGGGAGGGTGAGTCAAGGCGGGCAGAAGGGCTGGGGCAGGGGCTGCTGCCTAGAGGGTCCCTCCGGTCAGAGAGTAATTGTGGAGGCGGGGCGGGCAAGGGGCGTGCGGCTGAGATGACCCACTCAGTCTGCACGGCCCAGAGTTTAAAGATTTCCATGGGGCAAAATCCCTTGATTTGGCAGGAGCTTCCTGAGCCACTTGGGATAAGCCCCTCCCTTCCTGGACCCATTTGTGACCATCCTAGCCACGGGGGACTGACTGACAAGCAAATATCAACACAGGGCAAACCCCTCTCAGCTACCTGGGGCCACTGGACACTCCACTTCCCCACCTCCGCCCGAGGCCCTTGCTCTGCCTTCCTCACCTTTATCCATCCCACTGAGCCACTGCTGGGCCGTCAGAGAGGGCTGGGCGCCTGCCGTGGGTGGGTAGATGTCCTCTTGGTAGGATTCTGACTGCAGGAGACGTCAGGACAGTGAGCGCTGGGTGGTGGGGAGGCTGCCCAGACCGGAAGGGCCCTTAGAGAGCCGGGAGGCCAGCCTCTCCCCAACCCCTGTGAGTTGAGGGAACCGAGGCCCAGAGCAAAGGGACATGCCCGAAATCACACGGCAACTCAAGAGCAGAGGTGGGGTGAGCCTCAGACTCCCAGCTCTCAGTGACGCCCCCCTGACCAAGAGAAAGGCTCCCCCTGAGGAGCGGCCACCAGCCTCTTGCTGCCCCAGGGCCACGGGCTCCAGGCTCCGGGTCTGTCTTCTGCAGGAGTGTCCGCCTCCCTCCCAGACGGCCCCACCCCTTACCCGCCGGGGTACAATCATGGACACGGGCTCGATGAGGCTTTTGGTTGTGATCAGCTTGTAGAAACGGAAGATCTCACAGGAGGACACGTTGAGACCCCTCTTTGGCATGACACCTGCAGGCAGACGGCCAACAAGGGCGAGAGGTTCCGCTGGGCGGGGGCCACAGCGACCCAGCTGAGTGGCAAAGCCAGGCTGCACACCTGGACGCGACAGAGGTGACCCCCGTCCCCCGTCCTTCCCTCCACAAACAGTTCATGAGCACACACCTCCGCGGGCCCGGCGGGTGCCGGGGAAACGGGGCTGAAATAATCAGACTCTGTCCCCACCTCCAGGGACTTAAATGTCGTCAGCTAGACTCTCACAGGAAGTGCGCACTGCTCAGGGCCCTCCGTCCCCACCCCACAGCTCGGGCCCGGAGGCTCTTAATGGAGCTGCTCCCGCTCCCCTTCGATTAGTGTCAGCTGGCATCTTTCTCCATCCCTTCCCTTCCATCTAGCTCTGTCTCGATGTTTAAGTGGGTTTCCTGGACAACATGTAGCTGGGTCTTGTTTGTTTTGTTTTTTGTTTTTATCTCCAAACACACTTAAAAAGTAGGTGAGGATTCCTCCCTGGGGGCTCTCTTAGGTCAGTCTCTCCCATCCTCTTGCTATTGTACTGCTTACCCTTGGCCTGGAACACCTTCATTCTCTCCCCATGCTGTGCTCCGCTTCCTCCTTCAGCTCCTCAAATGTTGCCTTCTCCGGGAAGCCTTCCCTGACTTCCTCCTCTGTGTTCTCAGAGAACCTCATGCACACCTCAGCTAGAGCTCCCACGGAGTCAGTGTGTCAGCCTGCCACCTCCCCTCCCGAACGGGGCTCCTCCAGGGCAGGGCCCGCATCTGACTCGTCCCTGTCTCCCTAGGCCCCCGGTGGCCTGGGCGTCCCACACTCACCGATCCCCTTCTGTGGGTTGTAGGAGCGGTATTCGGTCAGGTAGTTAAGGTGAGGTTTGTCGGCGCTCACTTCGTAGTAGCGGATGTTCCCATCTCCCTGAGGAGGAGGAGGGTAGATTCAGAGCTGGTTCCCATCGGCCCCCCTGCCTGGCCCCCACTGCCAGGCAGCAGAAACCCGGCGTCCAGTGAGCGAAGAGTTGGCAAAGCCATCTCACACGGGGGAACACCACAGAACTGTCACCAAGACAGAAGGGGGCTCCTCATTTTAACACTCAGTCCCCCCAACCATGACCCAAAGCCCATCCTTGTGTCTCCAAGGCTCAAGCCCTGGGAGCAGAGGCCATGCACAAAGGTCAGAGGTGGCGTGTCCTGAGGCCATCTGGTGAGTCTTACCCCGGGAGCGTTTCTGGTTGTCACCATCATAATGACTGGGCGGGGCACTGGGGAGCAGGGGACAGGGATGCCAAATACAGGACGGTCCCACCCCAGGAGGACCCGTTCTGCCCCAAATTCGAAGGCACCCCTGCTGAGAAACGCCGACTGGTCCCTCATCATCTGGGCCCGTTGTTGGGAAGGGACCAGCTCAGGGTGTCCAGCCAAAGCCCTGGGCCCAGGTGCTCCTGGGGAGCTGGGAGGAGTTAGAGGGGCACTGGGCTCACCACGGGGGAGTGTTCAGTGACTCTTGTGGGTCCCTGTCCCTGCCCTGCACCCCAAGGTCCCCAGGCTGCTGTCTGGCCGCCAGTGGGACGAGGCCCAGGGTAGTTCTGCCTCCTGCCTCAGGGCACCAGGCGGCCACCTCCCTCCCGTGCCAGGCTGACCTTCCCCACCACGTAGAGCATGTTGGTGTCCGCATCATAGAAGGGAAACAGCACGCCTGAGGAGCCGTCCAGGTCTTCCTCTGTCAGAGGCACAGACAGGTCATCCTGCAAGGGAAGGGAGACCAGGAACGCCTGCGGGTCACTCTCGGGGGCCTCAGTGGTGCTCTCTGAGATAAGAATCTCTGTCATGGGGCTCTGGAAGCGTGTATGTCTGTGTGTGAGTGACAGACTGAGTTTGTGCGTGTTCGTGTGTGTGTGTGTGTGTGTGTGTGTGTGTGTGTGAAAGAGAGGCCACCACCTTTTATTGGGCCAGCACTGCCCTTAATGGATCACTTCTCACACACCTGATCTCACGCCAGCCCTCCCCCTGCCTGTTTTATTAGTCCCTGTAATAAACGAAGAGGGAGCTTCAGAGAGAGGAAGCAATTGTCCAGTCTTCGAAACTCCAGCCAAGAGCTCCTTCAAATCCATGCTGCTGGGCCTGGCCCTCACCACCCGCCCTCAGCCGCCCTGAACCAGCAGCTCCTCCTGCCCACACCCCTCAGGATTTCAGTCCCAGCCCTTGCTCCCGCTGTGCCCTCTGCCCTGCGGCCCTCTCCTTCTCCCCTCCCCCCAGTCCCGGTCCCAGATGCTGCCTCCTCCCCTCCCCCACACCGGGGCCTCTCCTGGGCCCTGACCCCTCCCCCTCCGTGAATGACAAGATGCAGGAGGTCTGGGCTAGCGGCTCTGGCTGTTGGCACCTCCCTGTGATTCATCAATCAATTCAATCAATGAGAGAATGAATGAATGAATGAATGAATGAACAAAGCCAGCACTCAGCTGAGGAGACTCACCTGGTCCCACAGGGCCACTTGCCGGTTGTTCCATCGGGACGTGCCCGTGGACAGCAGCTTCTTCAGGTTCCCCAGAAACAGCACTTTGCTGGCCCGGTGCCCCTTGTAGCTGGCTTCCTGGAGGGACGTGTGTTGTCAGGGACTGCCTACCTTGGCTTATGCTGCCGCTCCACCGGGAGTGCCTTCCTTTCTCACCCCAGCCCTGCCAGGGGCACCACCTCCAGGAGCCCTTCCCGGGGCCCTCCCCTCCACGTGGAGTTTCTCCCACTATTTTTGTTGAGAGTTATTTTTCTCGGGTAGGAGGGAGGCAATCGTCTGCCCAGCTCCTTGCTCTAGCTGGAAGATTATTGAGCACCCACTGTATGCAAGGCATGGAGCTGGGGGGCACTGTCACCTGGGTTATCTTATTTAATCCTCCGAGAGGAAGGACTAAGAAAAGACTAACGGCCCATTGCTGCAGATAGGGAAACAGAGGCTCAGGGAGCAAAAGCTGCTTGCCTCAGGTCCCAAGGTGAATCAACAGTGGTGGTGCCCCTCGTGGTGCCCTGAGGGCTCCGATCCCATGTCATGCCTCCTGACAGAGCTGAGGCACACTGCCAAGCTTTGGAGTTAGACCAGGTTCAACTCCCAGCTTTCAATGTGGGCAAGTCACTTAGCCTCTCTTTGCCTCAGTTTTCTCTTCTGAAAAATGGGGATGACATATCCTACCTCCCAACAGACAGGGAGAGCAGGTGTGCAGGCTCGGCCAGAACACTGACAGCACTACTGCCCTGTTCTCAGGAGCTGCCCCCACCCCCACTCCACTCCTTGCTCCTCTGACCCCAGGCCAGACCCCAGGCCAGCACTGACCTGGAGAACGGTCCCTGCTCGGGGGTCGAGAATCCGAATCTTGCGGTCTTTACAGGTGGTGGCCAGCAGGCTGCCGTTGGTGTTGAAGGACATGGAGAGGATCACGTCCTGGTGACAGTCAATTGTCCTCACAGGGCTGATGATGACAGACTCCTTTGTATCCAGGTTCCAGACCATCACCTGCATGGCAGAGAGCCCGCTCTGAGCACAGCCGCCACCCCCGCCTGGCCCCGCCATCACACGCCGCCAGCTGCGCTGAAACACGGTATCCCCGGGAGGGACGCGCAGATGGCAGTCTGGCCACAAGGCCTCGGTGGGAGGAGGATCTGCCGCTGAAGCTGCCACATGGCAGGAGGGGAGCCGGGAGTCAGGCTGTCTGGCAGCGAAAAGAAAACACCATCTGCCATGGGGCAACAGCACATCCATGCTGGGAAGACCCCAGGAATCCAGGGGGTCAAACAGTTATTAGCAGCAGTTTCCACCCTGCACAGATGAACAGGGCTGCTGTGTTTAGCTGCAGAGGCTGTGCACTGCAGAGATCAGGGCAATCCGTCCCCACAGCCTATGGTGTGAACAGCGCCCCTGGAGTTGTTTGCAGAATAACCTGCACAACCCTACACAGGAGCCCTGCAGACACACCCGACATAAACAGGGAAGAGAGCACTTCTGATCAGAAGGGGGTACAGGCCCTTCCAGCCACTCCCATCCCGCCCTTTCATCCACCACCGAGGCCCCTACAGAGTTGCGAAGAGAAGAGTTTAAAAGCCACAGCTATGGTCACGCCAACCCATCTGTGTACAGATTGAGAAACTGAGGCCCACGGAAGAAAATGGATTTTCCCAGGTCACATTGCAAGTCAGAGACTGAGTCGGAACAGAATCTAGGTCTCCCCTACTGGGAATCTTCCCAGTCCACAGGGCCCACAGCCTGTCAGCCTGGCAGTCGTCGGAGCAGGGGAAAGCTTCTCTGGGCAGGGCCTAGCCCGTCCCCTCCAGGCACACTTACAGGTTGAATAGTGTCTCCCCAAAACTCATGTCCACCTGGAACCTCAGAACGTGACCTTATTTGAACATAGGGTCCTTGCAGATGCAGTTACAGTGAGGTCATACTGGGTCTGGGTGGGCCCTAGAGTCAATGACTGGTGTCCTTATAAGAAGAGGAGAGGACACACAGACACACGGAGGAGAAGCCCACGTGAAGACGGAGGCGGGCTGGAGGGATGCAGCTCCCAGCCAAGGGACGCCGGGAGCCACCAGAGCTGGAAGGGGCACAGGATTCTTTCCCAGAGCCTCTGGAGGGAGCATGGCCCTCTAACGCCTTGATTTCGGATTTCTGGTCCCCAGAACTGCGAGAATACATTTCTGTTGTCTTAAGCCACCCAGGTTGGTCATTTGTTAGGGCAGCCTCAGGAAACTAATACAGACCCACCTTGTAGTCGTAGCCGGAGCTGAAAAGGATGTTGGCGGCCGTGGGGTGCCACTCCACCAGGCCCACGCGGCGGGCGTGGCCCACCAGCTCCTTCCTGCAGGCTGTGAGGTTCTTTGTCAGCAGCTGCTTGGGGATGTCCCAGATCTTAATCTGTCAGGGGACACGGCCCAGGGGGTGTCAGCCAGGGTCACCTCGGCACCCCCGCCACCCTAAGGCACAGAACTGGCAGTGCCCAGCAGGAGGGCTGGGGCGCTCTCTCTGTACCCGCCTCTCCCTCAGTGGAGGGGCAGCTGGGGCCCCTCAGAGGGACGGGGGCTTTGCCAAGGTCCTCCAGCCCAAGCAGGGCTGGCGCTGACAGGAGACGAGGCCAGGCCTCCAAGTCTGCCCCTGGTGGTCTTTGCCATTCTAACGACCTGAGGCAGTGGGCGGGCCGGTGGGCCGCAGGCCTGAGCGCCAGGCTGCGTGTCAGAGCAAATCTGCCTCCCAGCCCAGTATACCCCTCAAAGGACAGAGGTCTCCCCACTCCTTGTCCCGAAGGCCCAGGGTGGAGCTTCAGATGCCAGGAGGAAGGGTTTGTGAGGCATCCTCAGGCCACTAGGGAGCCAGCGCAGTCTCTGGAGCAGGACAGGGTGGGGACAAGCTCCTTCCTTTGAAGGGCTTCCTTGGATGGCCTGGAAGGGGAAAGACTGAAGGCCAGAAGGCCAGGCTGCACAGACTCACAGGCCTGTATTCCACACTGAAGGCCTGGGAGGAGGGGCTGGGCTTCCTTCCAGAGTGGTGTTGTCGAGGATGGAAGGTGCTTCCACGGTACAAAGTAAGCTCCCCGTCATGGAGGCATACAAATGGGGTATGGGGGGATGCTGCAGAGGGTGATGGAGCCGGTTGGTGCTGACCTGACGTCCCTCAGGTCCCTACGTGACTGTACATCCCTTCCCTTAGAGATAACACAGGGTTTTCAGGCAGACTTTGCTTTCAAGTCAGCAAATATTTACTTCCTGGTTGTCTTGGACTTAAAACCAGAAGGCCAACCCCACAAGAGCAGTGCCAGGCTCCAGAGAGCCGAGTCTGGCGACGGCTGTTTCCTCACAGAACTGGACCCGGCTGGAGGACGGACTCTGCACAGGTCTGTTTGGGAGGTGCAGACACCATCCCCAGCACTCCTGAGAGCTAGAGGGCCGTCCCTGCCCCACAGGGCCAGGGGACAGGGACAAGATGGCCGAGCACTTTACACAGGAGGGCTGGGGTTAGGCACTGCCACTCATCCTGCCCCTGGGGCATCTGGGAAGGGACTGTGGCAGGCGATGGGGCTAGCTAGGAATTGAATAAACACCTTGAAGGGAGCCTTCAAAGAAGGCCCGAAGGGGCAGGTATTGCAGGAGTGGGGACAGAGTCAGATATTTGATATCCTGTCAGAAGCCCTACACTCACTGGAGACAAGGCCAATTCTTACAGGGCCTGGCTGCCCCTTCAGTGAAACCACCTCGGCAGACATTGCCCTCTGTGTTCCTCAGCATCCCCTATATGGAAACTGGAAAATTCTAAGTCCTCTTAAAGTTTTCTACCTGCTTCTCCTGAAGAACTGGTCTCTTTCCTTTGATCAAACAGTGAGGGTTCTACAGTAGATTCTGTTTCCCTTTTTCCCTTGTCTGCCAGGCAGCTCTGAGCTAAACCTGGAACTCAACAGCTACAACCCTCCAGAGCTAATGTTTCTACTATTATTCCCTCATTTCCTCCATCTGTGACTGCTGCCCTTTAGGGAAGTGGCATAGCTCAGTGGAAATAGATTGGGCTCTGGAATCAAACCTCAGTCTGAAGCCTGGCTCTGCCCCCACAAACTGTGTGACCTTGGGCAAAGTGCTCCACCTCTCAGATCCTCGGCTTCTCCATCAGAAGAATATCCTACCTCGTGGAATTTCTGGGAAGACTGAGGAAAATGATATGTGTAAGAAGAGTCAGGAACACAGTGAGCTCACAGTAAATGGTAACTAGGATTTTTATCCTTATTTTAATCATCTGATCATATCTGTGTCTTTTGTTTTAAGCCATACCCATCACGTTTTAGAAGTGGGCACAGAATAAATTATAAATAAAAAATAGTGAATGTTGTAGGGGCAGGGACTATGGCCCTGGTACAGAACAAGGGCTCAAAAATGTGATGGCATTGAAGCTTTCGGGCTGGTGTTGGTGTCCGTATTCACACGAGGCTCCCACTCCTGTCCTGTTAAAGCTCCCCTCCCCACTGTCTGTGAAATTAAGCGGCACAATATTTTCTGGCCACAATAAAAATGCCCCTCACAGCATTTTATAGTCCCCCAAAAGGTGGGCTTTCCCACTGGAATATGAGTCTCACTGGATCTTCATTAGATGGTTGGGAGCTATTATGCCCATTTCATAGGTGGGGGAACTGAGGTGGTGCTCTAAGTCCCACAGGGCCCAGAACTTCTCCTCCTCCACCTAACTCACCCCCTCCCCAAGCAGGGAGCTCACCTTGTGAAGGATGAAGGAGTCGGGAGCGTGAGAGCTGAGTATGGACACCATTCCATCTCCCTCTGCCCCAGTCCCACGCTCTCAGGAAAGGGAACCGCCTCATGCGCTGACACTCACCGTGGCATCTTCAGAACAGGAGGCGATCTCAAAATCATCAAAAGGGTTCCACTTGATGTCTAAGACGTTCCCTCTGTGCCCGCAGACCTTCGGGTAGTGGGGGTCCAACTTCCCCGTCTGCAAAACATGGCCCAGGAGGGTTGGGGAGGGGAGGGGGCCACTTCCACGTCAGCATCTGGACAGTCACTCGGGAGGCAGCCATCACTGAGTAGACAGGAAAATGCAAGGGACAGAACTGCGTGTGAATCTAGGACTTCCCACTATTCCCCGTGTAATCCTGGGGGAGTCTTGTGGCTTCTCTGAGCCTCAGTGTCCTCCTCAGTAAAGTGGAGGCAATGATAGGTATTTCACAGGGTTCACGTGAGGACCGCAGATGAAGTGTGGAAAGTGCCAAGCACACAGTGGGTGTTCAATAAAAGGACATTTCCCCACACACACTGCTGGTGGGAAGGCAAAAGTGGTGCAGCCACTTTGGAAAACAGTCTGGCAGCTCATCAAAAGGTTACACACAGAGTTACCATGTGACCCAGTAATTCCACTCCTAGGTATAAACCCAAGAGAAGTGAAAACACGGGTCTACAAAAAATGCGTACACCAACGTTCACAGCAGCATTATTCCTAATAGCCAAAAGGTGCAAGAACCCAAACCCAAAAAAAAGTCCATCAGTAGGTGACCAGATAGACAAAATGTAGTATATTCACACAATGGAATATTATTCTGCCAAAAAGAAGGAAGTACTGATACATGTTACAACATGGATGGACCTTGAAAACATTACGCTAAGTGAAAGAAGCCAGACGTAAAAAGCCACGAGATACTGTGTGATTCCACTTAGGTGATGCACCAGCTGTGGTTTCTTTGCCTGAGCAAATTAACACACCCCCCGTACCTGGTGTTCAGAACCCTGACTGATGCACACGAAAAATCCAGAATAAGTAAATCCAGAGAGAGTGAAAGAAGATTAGTGGCTGCCTAGGGCTGGGGGAGGAGTCAATAGGGAGTGACTGCTAATGAGTATGGGGTTTCTTTTTGGGGTGATGAAATTATTTTGAAATTAGATAGTGGTGATGGCTGCACAACCAACCATGTGAATATACTGTAACCCGGTGAATCGTACCCTTTAAATAGTGACTCTTACGGTATGTGAATCATATTTCAACTAAAAAGAAAGGGCGTTTCCTCCCCTTTGCCCCTTTCCTGCTGAGAATCCCTGCATAGGTGCTGGGGTGACACACAGGGCCCACAGCCCTGAAGCCGAGACTTCCGACTGCACAGACACTTGGATTTCCCGGTCACGGGACCACCATGCCGGTTCAGGCACAGAAACGTGGAGCTGGCAGGACCAGCACATTCATCTGACACATCACAGTGCTCCTTGCAGAACGGGGCCGGGACCCGGGCCCTCTGCCCACCAACGCAGGCTTCGTCCAAATCCACTGTGGGTTCTGGAGCCCGCCCACCAGAATGCTCCCCAGACCATTTCTATATCTGGAAAGAGACAGCTGAGAGGAAAACTGGCCAACATCCATTCACTCAGCAAATCTTTCTGAGGAACCTAGGGGACAGGCCCTAGGCAAGGTGCTGGGTGACACGAGACACAGTATTTGACCTCACAGAATCAACAGTTTCAGGATCTTTAAAAAGGAACTTTCAAGAATAGAGTGAACTTGGGGCTGGCCCGCTGGCGCAGCGGTTAAGTGCGCACGCTCTGCTTTGGTGGCCCAGGGTGTTCGCAAGTTCGGATCCCGGGCATGCACCGACGCACTGCTTGTCAAGCCATGCTGTGGTGGCGTCCCATATAAAGTAGAGGAAGATGGGCACAGATGTTAGCCCAGGGCCAACCTTCCTCAGCAAAAAGAGGAGGATTAGCAACAGATGTTAGCTCAGGGCTAATTATCCTCACACACACACAAAAAAAGAATAGAGTGAACTCAGGGAACACCCACTGCCTCTCTTTCCCTCACCTCCCCTACTCTGCAGACACCACTGAACCTTTTTTTTTTTTTTGAGGAAGACTGGCCCTGCACTAACATCTGTTGCCAATCTTGCTCTTTTTCTTTTTTCTCCCCCAAACCCCAGTACATAGTTGTGTATCACAGTTGTAGCTCTTCTATGTGGGAGGCCACCTCAGAATGGCTTGATGAGTGGTGAGCAGGTCGGTGCCCAGGATCCCAACTGGCGAACCCCGGGCCCCCAGACCACTGCACCTTTGTGGGACTTCTGAGACTGCGTCCAATCAAGACTGAGCAAAGATGCAGTGGTGGTCTCTGACCTGCTTAATAAGGCTGTGGGGGCCGGCCCGGTGGTGTAGTCGTTAAGTTTGCACGCTCCGCTTGGGCAGCCCAGGGCTCACCGGTTTGGATCCTGGGCGTGGACCTACTCACTGCTCATCAAGCTGTGCTGAGGCTGTGTTCTACATAGAAGAACTAGAGGGATCTACAACTAGGATATACAACTATGTACTGGGGCTTTGGGGAGAAAAGAGAAAAAGAGGAAGATTGGCAACAGATGTTAGCTCAGGGCCAATCTTCCTCACACACACACAAAAAAGGTTAATATAAAACTAAAACCAGAACTTCAGTGGTACAAAATGCTAAAAACATGTAAATAAATAAATAAATAATAAAAAATAAGACCGCGAAGCACAGCTGCGATTAGAATAGACGCCAGCTTCCCCAGTCAGCTCCGGCAAACCGGGAGACACACATAACAGAGCCCTTGGTTCATGGGGTTTTATGTATGCATCTTAGCTCTGCAAACAGAGGTGGTGGTCCTGGGCTCCCCTGCAGATATACTCTCCCCAGTTCAGCTGTGGCCCCCCGGGAAAGGGCATTAGACACCTCGCCCCAGACCAGATCCCATACTGGAGGAGGGAACTCTACGGAGGACGTTACTGGATAAATTGGAACGTGAACGTGAACGTTAAAGTATTGTTGCAATGTTAAACTTAGTGAAGTTGATAAGGTACTGTGGTTATGTAAGAGAATATTCCTATTTTTAGGAAACACTCAAGTATTTAGGGAGAAAGGACAAAGATGTATGTGACTTATCTTCAAAGGGTTCAGAAAAAAAATCATACCCTCACATACACAGAGAGAGAGAAAAGGAAAGAATGTGGAGGTGTGCCATTTGATAGTGCCGTGTGAGGAGGTGGGCAAAAGTTCCATTTCTTCCAGATGGTTCTGCCTCCTCTGTGGCTGAAAAAAATGGGTCCCTGGACAGGGAAGAGAGGGGCACGCTCCATGCCCCTGTGGGGGGGCAGTGCCTGCAGCCAGGGCCCTGGAGGGAGACACAGCACCTACAGGCCTGGCTCAGGTCTCCACGGGCCCATCGTCTGGCCTCAGACCTCTGGCCCAGCCTCTAGGCCATTTGGCCTGCTGTCGACGGGCGAACTTTCAAAAATTAAAATCTGATTGTTTCGAGCACCTGCTCAGATTCTGCAAGCCTCTTTTTCCTCATCTGTAAAATGTGAATAATAATCTCTTCCTTGTAGGATTGCTATGAGAGTAAAATGAGAAACCGTGCATGAAAAGCTTTACAGTGATGTCCTACAGTAATCGCTCAAATAAGAGCAGCTATTATATGTATACGTGTGTGTGCGCATGTATATGTGTATATCAAAATGCTCCAAAATGTTAATCATGATTATCTCTAGATGGTGGGATAAATTAGTGGTTTTTATCATCCTCTTTTTTTAATTTCCCAAACTTTCTATAAAAACTGTGTAAATTTTGCAATAAAAAATGTACTTAAGAATAAAACTCCCGGCGTGCGGCATGATGCCGTCATGCCCCGGCCGGCGCTCAGCAGGCCGCACGCCGGGATAGCAGAGCCGGGAGGTGACCAAAGCCACATAATAATGTCAGTAGCTCGTTCATCCGTCCATGCCAAGTGGATTGTGGGGAAGGTGATTGGGACAGCAATGCAAAAAACTGCTAAAGTGCGGGTAACCAGGCTTGCTCTGGATCCCTATTTATTGAAGTATTTTAATAAGCGAAAAACCTACTTTGCCCACGATGCTCTTCAGCAGTGCACAGTTGGCGATATCGTGCTTCTCAAAGCTTTACCCGTCCCACGAACGAAGCATGTGAAACATGAACTGGCTGAGATAATTTTCAAAGTTGGACGAGTCATAGATCCAGTGACTGGAAAACCCTGTGCAGGAACTACGTACCTGGAGAGTCCAGTCAGTTTAGAAACCACCCACCTAACCAAAAATCTGGAAGAACTCAATATCTCTTCAACACAGTGAAGGAGGATTGGAAGAGGGAGCCAAAGGGAAAGATTTATGTTTGCTATATGGAAAAAGAAATTTTTCTAAGTTTCTTCACAAACTGTGCACTTTCTCTTCTGGTATTTATGAAATAGCTAAAAGTAAATGAATAAAGGGCTTATTGTAATTTAAAAAAAAAAAAAAGAATAAAACTCCCAACTTTCAGAAAAGATGGGTCCTTCCAGGATTAACCAAAAATGTGTTATAAAACTGCAGAGCTTTGGGGCCGGCCTGGTGGCGCAGTGGTTATGCTGGTGCGCTCCGCTTCTGGCGGCCCCAGGGGTTCGCAGGTTCGCATCCTGGGAGTGGACCTATGAACCAATTATCAAGCCATGCTGTGGCAGGCGTCCCACATAAAGTAGAGGAAGATGGGCACAGATGTTAGCCTAAGGCCAATCTTCCTCAGCAAAAAAAAGGAGGATTGGCAACAGATGTGAGCACAGGGCTCATCTTCCTCACACACAGACACACAAAACTGCAGAGCTTGAAGGGCTCTCAGAGACCACAGTGGTAAGCACACAGGAGAGTTCTCTGAGGCTGCGCTGGTGGCAGGCATCACTAACAGATCACAGCACTCTCGATGACCCCAGACTGGAGGAGGGGCTTGCCCAGGGTCACGGAACGTGAGGGGCAGGGCTGGGCTGGAGCCCAGGGCTCTGGCTCTCAAGCGTGAGTCTGGTGTCTTAACTGCACTCTGTGGGAGTTCCGGCCCTCTCTGAGTCAGCGTCCTGACCCCCTTCCCATACACAGACCTTCCCTTCTCTTGGATCATTGCCTGGGTCAAAGGGCATGAGCAGTGCTGGGTTTTTGCTGGGGCACACCCAGTTTGGCTCTCAGTTTTGC